ATTACGCAAATTAGTTTCTTTTCACGTAACTATTGTTTAGAATAGCTCACTGTTAATATCTGATATACAGCACATCACATAAAGCAAGATTTAAGCCGGTCGCATCGTTACATGGTGTAGTTGTCAGTAAATATACAGGTAGTCCAGCTTCAATTGAATGGATCTAGTTCTTTCTCTGGTGGGACCAGATCACTGCATTAAATTGCTTGAGCCAAAAACATCTTGGAGAACACGGGCACTCTCAAGTCCAAGGTATTCAATAAAGAGAAGAAGATTCGCCAGGAAATAAGAAGTCCGGCACTCAGACAACTTCACATCGGAAGGTTATTGTGTGAGGATACTCCGCAACCAAAGGAGGGGCCATTTCGTCCACGTGCTCCTGGAGGCAATTGCTTGGCCTGAGATGCCCCTCTTCAAACATTTCAACTGGCGAAACAAAAAGACAGAAAAGGGCCCGCACCTATGACCAGATCAAAGAAGAAGTTGAGTGACAACCAGACAGTGTAGAAAAGAGACTAGTACTACAAGCTCGGCCTCAGGCGCAGGAGGCGAAGAGAATTTGGACTTGGAAGCCTAAACCTTGATGATATGGAAAAGAACTCAAAAGGCAGCTCCAGCGGCATCAAAAGCAAAGTGAGAGAAAGGCAGAGAATTCAAGGGCAAGCATCAGCGATAGTCGAAAAAAGGAAATGAGAAAAACGCAATTCTAAAGAGAAGATTCTGGCTGGGTAGGACCCGAAGGAAGTACAAAAGAGAGAGGGCGCGTCAAGAAAAGACTGAGTCTGCCTCATGTTCGGTAGCTCTCGGTGCGTTTATTCCGGAGGGATCGATTTAATTCATGGTCGCTGAAAATGTGGACCAATCTGGCCATTGTAGGATGCTGATCCATGAGAGTTATCTAGACCAAGATCCAGCCGGACGTATCGGCAGTCCAACGCAATCTGCTTTCTGTATTAGCAAGGTCCTGCAGATATGGAATTTTGGAATTCGGAATCCCGTTCCGGAGCTTCAAGGAATTCCCTCAGGGCTCCTTTGCCAACCACGTGCGTTGGCCTGATGATCCTTTCGCCCGTAAGCTAGCTATACTAGAGACGAAGGAGATATGATCTACACGGTTGTGGCGGTGGTCTAATCTCACGCTAAATGATGTTGACAGGCAATGTGGCAGTTCACTAGAGCTCTACAGATAGCTGAACTGTCCGAGGTAGTTGAGCTAAGGAGTGGAGTCGCCACGCCTCCTAATTCTGATAGAGGCATCGACTACGAGGATTAACATTAGCGTAAGATAGATTTGGTAATAAGTGGAAGGGCATTAAGCTACTTTCAGGCAGTCTTTCCTTGATACAGCACCGCCAGGCCACAGTAGAACCAAAAACATCAACACGTGAAAAGTCTCGATAACATATCAACGGTCGACATGTGTTGGCTAACTAGATTAAGGAGGTTTGATATCTCATTTCTTAGTTTCTTCTACTCAATAGGGCAACAGATTATTCACACCGTCAATCAACGCCTTCCCAAACCCGAATGGCATCGCCCCGTCCTACTATATACTATACCCCCAGACATAATGATCGTCTCTTGCCCACAAAACCGTCCGCTCTATCTATCCAAAATCCAGGGGTGACCATCTAGCTGGTCAATTTATCAAAAGCCGTCGCCGGCCTTATCGGTAGATCCAATGGTTCATATCGGGAAAGTGCGTGCCGAACCACATGCTAAGAGAGCTGAAGGGGTAGTTGAAAAAGTTCCACCCTGTCTTATCAGTAACTTGCTTTTGGAATGTTAGCCCTTTAATACGTCGATATGATGAAGTTGGAAATGCCGGCTTACGCTCGAACAGCTGTCTGTTAATACTGTTTTCCTCAAGGCAATTTGAACAGAATCACAATAACGAATCTCTGCATTCTTCGCAACCTCAACAGCAGCCGCCTTTCGAAGAAGTAGCGGGCGGGCAAGTTTGACCACAAGATTTGCAGTGCTGTGGATGAAATACTCAGCTGTGTTTTCCAATAAATTCAGTCTGGAGCATGGTCACATACCACTCCGAAGCAAAGAGAACCGAAGTATGGCCGCTGCCCGAGTTTGGTCCTAGGATGTAGAAAAAGTTGGGACATCCATTGACAGCAATGGTCTTGTAAGCCTCAATGCCTCCCATTTCTTGCCAGTGCTGCTGCAATGATACTCCACGCCGGCCAATAATTTTATCGCCTTGCCATTGTGAAAATTGGAACCCAGTTGCCAGAATCTAGCCCAACGTGTCAGAACTATTCGCTGCCCGCAAGGCATAGCATTTCTTACAAGGAAGTCTACATCGTGTTGAGCTCCAGACGCAGTAATCACGCTCTTTTCTCCAACAGAGACAATTGAGTCTCTCGTCAGATGAACCTTTGGATTTTGAAGGGTTTTGAGATATTGGCAATCCAGAATCCTGCGCTACTCTCAAAGTCAGCGAAATTAAATAATGTCGCGCCAAGATGCGTACATACTCTGCATCCAAGACTATAGCCAGGTATCAACATTGTCCAATATTTCTCTATTGGTTCTTAGTTACTGGTTTTATGAGAAGGAATCACAGCTTTTCACATACCTGGGGCGGTTTTCTTGATATAATTGGAGCTCGCCACTGCTGACTGCTCCCGCATCTGCTGTCCTTTTTTGTTGTTGTAGAATTGAAGGAGCCCAGTCTCAAGAAAGAAAAATATTGTCCATCGTATAAATACCAACACTGCTGGAATGTGGGAGAATAGCGTTCTAAGAATCCATCCGAGCTCAAAGTTATACGGCATTGGAACATAATGTTGTGGACTCTAAAAGTCATGATGTAGTCAGCATATTGCGATGGTGTGTCACTCTCTCTATGAATATTTACCCGAACGAACTGTATCAAGGACCTGACGTTGTCGACAATGGCGGGGACGACCTGAGATGCAGAACCTGGGAAGCATCAGCTGACAGTTGACCGACCTCGACTGTTTTAAGAAGACTCACATCCATTGCCAATAACAGCAACATTGAGTCCGCGCAGGTCGTAATCTTTATCCCACTGTGCGGTATGTACCACTGGTCCTTGAAAAGAATCTAGGCCAGGTATTGAAGGCAACTTGGGGTTTGTATAGCCTCCAACAGCAGAAACAAGCATCTTAGCCTCGTGGATATACTCGTCCCCGGTGACTAGATCACGTAGATTGACAAGCCAGGTAGAAGATTTCTCATTCCATATGGCCCCGGTCCATTCTCTCTGGAAGACAATGTGTCTGGGAACATTATGACTTTGCGCCACGCTATGGGCATATGACAGGATCTCGGGCTGTGATGGAAATATCTTGGTAAAGGCAGGGTTTGGGAACCAGGAAAGAGAGTAGAGTGCACCCGGTATGTCAACTCCACATCCTGGATCTGTAACACGTTGAGTTGGTTATTATACCGAGCACAATTTGGGAAAACTTACACTTGTTTGCCGCCCATGCGCCTCCCAGCTCTTGGGCACGATCATAGATGATATAGTCAGAAACACCCAGCTTCCGCTGTAGCTGGCATGCCAAATTGATGCCAGACAAGCCGGCCCCGATAATGACAACGTCATTATAAAACCTGGGCTTAATTTCGTCCATCGTCTCTGAATCAAGTTAAGAGAACGGGTTCAGGATATCGAATTTAAGAGAAAGGCAACGGCCAGAGCCCTCATAAATCATACGAAGGCCATCACAAGATCGAAATTGGACAGATGGAGCACAAAGGATTCTTGGTATACACGACCCCGAGATGCATTAGGACAAACCTCCAGCCCGCTGATCTACAGAAATAGTAATGCCTATACTTGAATAGTGATATTACTACTTCCACGACATCTGCAGTAGGAAGGTCAACCTTGTCCGCCCCCAACAGGTGGGGTTGCTGCCCATGAAACAATAAAATAGTATGGAACGTGCCAAAATACCGCGACTAACCAGTCACGAGTCGACGGTATGAATTTTGATAGGCAGGGGCTAGTGTGTTTAGCTTTGCCAGTTAGGAAATGGCTAGGAAATGGCGTGTGCTTATGCTTTCGGTCACTTGAGGACTGTTCACAACATTGGCCCGTTGTAACCCTGTCCTACGGCCCAAGGATTGGGAGAGGGGCCACTAATGCTGCCTCAATTTAGTGCCTCTGTTATCATCCAACACTAGGAAGGTCCTACAACCTTTTCAGATATAGATACGAGGCGGCATCGCGAATGCCATTGCGAGTGGTGAATTACAATGCGTGGGCTGAGAACTAGATGTCATCAGATCGTGACAACGTAGAACAATTGCATTGATGTCTAGGGGATTGAGGGAGGGGTTTATAGGAACCTCAAGGTTTGCCCAGTAATTGGACATGAAGTTATTGGCTGGGGATCCTATATCTGCCTGGTGCCCGCTCTTTGCATGCTACCATCAAGGTACCGCTCTCAACTAGTACGTTTGGCTTTCGACCATCATCACATGCAATTGCCAACTCAAATCGAATGGCCCCTCTGAAGGATCGCGATCCTTACATCAGCCAGGATGTTGCCATGGATGTGATCTTAGGCAGGCCCTCTCGGTAGTTGCGCCCCTGCTATCCGGAGCCCTTTAGGGAGAAATGCCGATTCAGGTTGCATGGCTCTTCATCGTGCACAGGGGATCTGCACTCCCGCATGAACGTACCTTTTCCCTCTGCTGTGGATCTGAATCGGAGTAACTAGCCCTTTTGTCCTTGCTAGATCCTACCGTATCCCAAGACCGTAATCGCGGTATGAGGCATTTGCTAATTGGGCTAGCCTTGCCTTACTTCCAAACGATCCTTGAGACGTCCCCACCTACGCCACTTCTTGATACCGAACAGGTGTTACTCAAAGCGGTCCATCCCGAAGCCGACCTTTCGGCGCTGTCATGTTATCTCCAATGGCATAGCTGATATTAATCGCAAGACTCGAGCATTCTCCATTGGCACATTGGTAAATTCTGCCTGTGCTACACTAGGCTTTCTCAGCAAAATGGCATTTCCCAGTATCTTCTATACTCCCTTAGCCTTCTCTTGCCTGTTCAGACAAGTGCTGGAGAGGAGAATATCGCTATCGTCTACAGAGTTGGTAATACAAGTTGGTCTGGTACGATGGGCGGGGCTCAACTTCTTGACCTGTGCAGCAACTCTAACCGCCTTCCTTTTCCTCGCTTTCTGCCAAACTAAGGCTGAGTATTGGGATATTTCTCAAAATCTGAGAGAAATCGAGGCATCTCGAGAGGCCTCTCGTGCCCCCACTGGGGCTGGGCTCGGTGGACGCCGTCTGGCCAAGCAAGCTCCTTCATCTGATGATGGGACGCAAGAAGCCCCGATTGAGCTCGAGCGCCTGCATGGAAGGCCGATAATGTACCCCTCTGTACTTCGTCACATACGAATGGCGGGGGGGTTCAAAGACGACTTCAGTCATTCTTACCTTTACATTGGTGTTCCTGTGGGCATCCATGCTACTTACTCGCCCATGATATCCATGGACCGACCATCCTACAAGGTCCTATGGAACATTCGGCCTCAAGATCAGGCGATCAGGGGCGGCAAAGATTTAACCTTGTCCCATAAGCTAGAGGAATGTCTTCGTGCACAGGTCAGTCGCCACCTCTCTGATTATTGCCAGGTGAGAAAAAGAATTTCCGCTGAGATGGATATTTCTAGAATGAAGACCCAAGCGAGTGGGCTTATGCCTACCTCCTTACTTCACCTTGCATGAACGACCATAACAACAACAATAATCCTCTAGCTTTCTGGTATCTTTACAGCTCTGACAAGAAACTTACGGCTATGATTCTGCAGCTTGACACCTCATATGGCGAGCGCAGGCTATGGTTCGTGAGGAACTCCCTGCAAAGGCAAGCAAAGGGCAGCTCTTACTGCTTCCAAGGCAAGTTTGTCAAGGACCTGCAAGTCTCACCCTTCATGCCTCTGGGGTCCGACACCAGCTACATCGTCGATACGTCTGATCCCTGCGCAAGCACGGATGGTCGCGTCAACATTTTAATCACTTTGAAAAAGGGGAATAAGACGCTTATGACAGCTAGTGTGAAGCCCCATTCGCCTTCTCTAGATATACCCACAGCAAGCACTTGGTCTTCTCTCGTCTTCTTGTGGAAATGGTGGTGGGTTCCCATGGCCACAGTCGTCACATGCAGAATTCTTGGACAAGCGGCCAAGATTTATCTCACTCAAAGAAAGAAGATCAAGGTGCAGACAAGGGAAGAACCAATTAAGACAGTGACCGCCAAGCCTGCAAGGACGGTAGAAATGTATGTGTTTTCAACATCAAAGCTTCGGATCGAGACTGACCTTGCTTTAGGACTCTAGAGCGGTATTTTTACAAGATACTCCAAGCAGCAGTTGAAAACCAGTCACATGTCGACCAAGTGAAATATATTACGCCTGGTGAACATTCGCCAAGGGTTAGGGTTTTACGGTCAAAGTATGCTGTGTCGATTCCAGAAGCTTTATTGCAGTCGACCAACCTCTCTGGATCCAGTAAGATCTGTTCGGAGATCACCTTCCAAGTTATTAGTCCAGCGTTTTATTTGCGCTTCTTCCACTACAGCTCACCATCCGCTGCAATGGACGCGGAGCTACTTGACGATGAGCGAACCCGAATGGTGTGGTGTTCTGATCCTAAGCAGTTTGCCTCTATGATGTCCGTACACAGTGCCCACATCCCTCCAGGCTCTGCAGATTGGCGCTGGAGGTTCATATCACGTCTAAGATGTCGCCCTTTGGCGACCAACTATGAGCACAGGACAAAATTCCAGCTTTTTGGTGGATTATCCACCAACGATTACTGGGTTCTCCAAAACTGTACAGCTGCCGAGCAAAAAGAGTACAGGCGTGCCTTACTCCGCGTCTACCTTGGAGAAACGATTGGCAGTATTCCTTTCGGATCGTTGACAGATAACCTTGAACTATTTGGCCTTAGTCGAGATGCTGTCTTGAGAATTCAGGAAGCATACTTGAAAACGTTTATTGCCTTGTTGGGTATTGAAATTGCGTGTCAAGCTGCTACAGGCTCTAGTGCTAAAATTATGCTTGCAAGCTTATCTCTTACAGGCTTGAATATATGGGCATGCATAAAAATGATATTCTAGATAAGACAGACTTTACAAACTTTGAAACTTTATTTTTATGAAAGAATGCTCTCCTTGGATAAGATCATGTCTTGGTTTGGATGTTTGAAATCGACGCAATTGCGGCAGGAAACAGTTACCAAATGAAGAGAGCTTTGTCAATGTTCATTGAGGAGTGATGCTCCAAAAGATCCCACTTGAAATCGTGCTGAGCAATCAGTCGTGTAGCGCTTGGTTTGGTTGTTGTCGGGGTGGATGAGGCTCAACAAGGCCTGATGGTACATCAGCCTTCATTGAAAGCTAAATCATCTGCCAACTCAGCATTGTGATATTGTAAATCTCAAGTGTTTTTCTTCAGCTTGGGGTTCCTAGAGGGTAGACGGAGAAACCGTATTTGACCAGGTGGTATGTTCTGTAAATTGCAAAACAATGAACCAAGAAAGTATAGAAGCTTGCAACAGTTCAAACTTTGACTAAGCGTAGACTTATGGGGGAGATAGTATTCACACCTACCGTACAAGGTCTTAAGATATAACTGTAATGGAGTAGCAGGAACTTGGCGCGCCTCCACTTGACTGTCCCTTATAAACTAATAATTCATAATTTTGAGGACTGGAAATGGAGCCTAGAGAGTTCTTCTTTGTTTTTTGGGCCACCATAGCAAGCAAAAGCTATTTGGGGGAGTTACTTGCTTGAACTGGATGATGAAATGAAGTTTTAGTAGTACCATTCCTGATCGCCTTCTTTTGCCAGCTTACCCTATACACGCTATACATTGTACAGCTACTTAAGCATGTCTAATAGTAATTGCCTTAGATTGAATTCATCTGTCTTTTCCGTTCGTTTGAGTTGAGGTAGCTTGTTATGAAGCCTAACCTTCTCCTCTCGTTGGTTCCGAGTGATTTAAAGCTAACGGAGGCCATGAGATAGCCTTTCTCCTCGCTTGCTTACAAGAAATTAAGCAGGAAGCATTACCTCGAACTTGGGCTATCATAACGACAAACGATTTTGAAGGAGAGCCAAAGGTAGAAGCGATAAGGAGGGCATGCATTTGTAGAATGGAAAAGACTATCTGCTTGACCTAAAGTTAGATGATCACATTTTGGACTCGGGGCTCGTGTATCAAATAGCTTAAAGTGGCCTGTTTAAGCATAGTGCTACCCGGAATATATGAAAACCTATGTGCTGCGAGAATCATACAAAGACAGAGAGTTGAATCAACACCTCGTTTCACAGTCTACTATGCTTCAAGAAGTAGTACCTTGCGTTCTAGTGTTAACTACTGCAACAATTACTGTCTCGAAACACGAAGGCGCCCATCAATATGCAAATGGTACACCCTGGTCTCAGATACCTTACGACTTCGGTAGGTCCACTCAGTCTCACCTGGGTCCTTGTCGAGGACCATAAAGTGCAACACCTTGGCGATAGACATGGCGCCTTCGGGCGGAATGACCACGCGCGTCGCCGTAAATACCACGACTAAACTGAGGACCAGCTGCAGGCAGACGATTGTAGCCAAGATAAACCAAATGTAATCCCAACGGTCGACGGTCACAGCTGAAGCTTGAATTGGTGGGTAGCCAGCAACAATGACAGGAAGGCTTGTCCTTGCTACTAAGGCAAGCATACCAGCGGCGCAGCGTGACATGACGAGGGCCATGGCCTGGATGTCGCCGAACAAGGGGGTCCCAAAGAATGACTGGCTGGATAAGCTTGGTATTGCGTGCTGGCAGAGTTGGTAACCTCCGATGAGTCAGCCCAGTGGCCGCGAAGCGCAATTGCTCCGGCGGCCAAGAGACGGACGTTCTGTGAGACTGTATGTTCGGGCAACGTGCTGTTGGTCATGGGGCTGACGGTGGTGTTGCACGCATAGAACCAGGAGAAGATGTAGATATGAAGAGAAGGAAGGGACTGGATAGTGGAAGTAGCTGCAAATTGTAGCTGCGGTATATCAGGAGTTAAGATAAGAGTGGAGAAACTTTTACTACACCGTGGACACTAATAATATAGCACTTCACAAATGGCAGCCAGTGGCTTTGCTTTAACACAGCCTGTGCAAGTTAAAGCGATCCCTTGGTAGCCAGTTTATAACGTGGTGAAAGCGGAGTGAGACAGATTCACACAAGTAATCCCGTATATTACCTCGATTTTTATACTAATAGCACTTGTCTCCCTGTGAGAGACTACTTTATTATACTACAGTCGCTCTGACACGGTTTGAATTCCAAGCTCAACCAACTTCAGCCTCGGCATCTCCATCCCAATACGGTTTCCAAGAATGGCACTCTAATCTTCCCATCCTTCAATGGGGACGCTGAGATATTCAATCTCTCTAAGAATCGCTCGCTCAAGCTCTTTCAAAGCCGAATCCAGGCTGACAGAGCTTCCAGGCTGAATTGCATCGATAAGCTGGTCGGAAGTCAACCAAGTTACAGGACTAAAAGCCTTTCTAATTACAGACTATAGGCAGCTAGCGCAGCAATGCCTGCCATATAAACTCCGTGTCCCTTGCGGATAGCAGCGGACTCGCTAGTCGGTTCTGCCGACTCTGATTTGATTACGCTGGCGGCGGATTTGACGGCCGAGGCATCGGGTTTGGCCACCATGGCCAGGCAGATGTCTGTTGCGACCTCAAGTCCAACTAGGTAGGAACATGTTAGTAAAGACGTCGAGTCGAGTCGCATCAGAGGATTCTTACCGCTATACTCGCTGTTGGAGCACTTGACAAGCAAGCACGTGCCCATATGTGCCTTGAAGACTAACGTATCCTCGCAAAGGCACTTGAGATCGGAGGTGTCGCAGCCAATCTCCTTTCCAACCTGGGGAAAACAGTGCATGGCGCAGCCAGGCATCTGGTTCACGAGCGATGGCAGAGGAGAAGTGGCAGTGGCAGTGGAGGATGTGGTCGAGGTTGCAGAGGCGGAGCTTGCAAGCGCAAGACCAATGGAGAGGAGAACAACTGAGCGGAATGCCATTTTGGACGGTTAAATAAGACTGACTGGTTTTTGGAAACAGGTACTCTGATCAGGACAAAGAATGCTGTGTTCAAAGTGTCAAAGAAGACAGAAATTGACACTAGTGCGGTACGGGGGCTAAAGAAGGAGACTTAAGGGAGCGACGAGCTCAGTAGTTGAGAAATGAAAGGGATGCTGTGGTTGGGAAGGCCGGTTTAGAGTATATAAAGAGAGAATTACAAAGTAGGGAGAAAAGCACATATATGTAGATAGTTTGAGAAAAGATCCAATGCCCTCATTTTGTTCGTTTCATCATAAAGATTTGGCTTATTAGGAGCTGTATTTCCCTGCTAGTGCTCGTGCCATTATCTCCCCAATCCTTGAATCATAACAATTTGTGGACGCAGGACGGATCTGCCGGCATTACCAAGAGCTAAAGCGTCGAATTGGGAATGTCGTAACAACTGTGTGGCAGCGTGTTAAGAATTGCCTGTAATCCTAGCATGGCCGGCCAAGGCCCTCGAGGTTCTCTAGCGGGAACACATCTGCTGTCTATAAGTCTTGGCTAGCAGACCAAGCTACCACACCAGTCTTGACCGGACCAAGCCCCATATTAGAATATGCAGCGAATGCTGATGCGCTCGGCCAATTCTAAGCCTAGGCTGTTGACGCAGCCCTGTGTTCTCCATAGTTACCCGTGGATCGGTGTCTACTCCCTGCTGATTCCGAAGCGAACCCCAAGCCAGAATACGATGCAGCCAATAGGCGTGGTTCGCTTTTACCCACCGGCTATGCTTTTGAGGAATTCGGCACTTCACGTCCTCGAGAGGGTTCACCTATGGTTTAGCTTCATATCATGCGGTCCTGAGCGGAGATTTCATAGGTAGTTGGTTGGCTGGCCCCCTTTGCATCATAATCTGGGAACCTGGCTCCTTGTGAACCTCCCTTTTGCACTGGGACTTGAGTGTTACCAACGAGCCAACCCCGATGCAAAGAGGACTAGTTTTTCGAAATGGAGCAAGCCAGCTGGTAAGTTTCCGGTTTGACTTTTAGGCAGACAGCAAGCGCCGGAGCACAGAGCGGTGAAACGTAGGAAGGGTGGCAGGTCACGTAGAGAGAGACGAGCGGTGTCGGTCCAAGGATCAGGAATTGCTGCAATTCGGAATCGCCTCCCTCTTTCGTCATTGACCCCCCTCGGAGAACTCAACCATTGGTAAGATCGTAGTATATTGATCTGCCAAGACTGCAACAATGCTACATTCGACAATACAGGAGATAAGAGAGGGAAAGTGAAAAGGTAGCTTGCGGGAATAAATAATACCATGCGCCTTTCATTTCTGAAGTTTGATATTCATATCCGAACCACCCGGCCTTGGGCATTCTCAGTAAACGATATGCATCACGGTGGTACTGGTTTTGTGGCGCTCGCCGCAGCGGCCTCTACTCTTCTTGATGGCGCCTTTGCCTCTCCCGACAACAAAATCCCCGAGCAATGGAGAAAGTCCATTCCAGAGGCTTGGGACCATACAATGGCCCGCTCCTACCTTGGCTCTGGGCTCAATATTTCTGGTACCAGCAACTGGGCTCTCGACCAAATCATGGACGGGCAAGGGTAAGAGCACGCACTCGCGAGCATGTGAGCGATGGCCGAGGCTAACAGCTGCAGAACCATCAACATATGCCTGAGATGGGGCGCCAACAAGGCCTTGACGCGGGACAACCGTGAAAGCTTCGAGGTTGTATACAAGCAGAGCTTCCAGGTTTGGCTCAAGTGGCTGCCCGGCTGGGACAATTTCCCGTTTGACAGCGTCGACATCAAAACTGCACATTGGGCCGTGGGCGACAGGGCCCTCATCGAGGGTCCTACGTCCGGATTCGAAGTCCACGCCGGCTCCAAGGACGATGAGGGCCGCCCGACCTGTAACCCAGGTTGCTCTCGCGAGCTGCATCAGGACGGGGACTATAGCGAGTGCCCCGGAGGTGCTGATAATCGCTTCCATCAGTTTATACTGCTGAACCCCGCCTGGGGCGAGTTCAACATGGGTGCCGCGTCATCGTTTGGTGTCGATCTGAGCCTGCACGGCTGGTAGACGATTGGATCAAAGGGTTTAGACTGGCCGTTGCGTATACATGAGCTGGTAAGCAGTCCCAAATTTGCCTTACTTCACGGTGGATTGGAGCTGACCCATTGACTACAGGGCCACTCCTTTGGATTCCCCGACTTTCTGACCGACTTTACCCGGCCGCCTGAGCGTACCATCTGCAACATTCTTTGGTTACCGGATAACGCGCCAGACAAGTTCGTCATGATGCCTGGGTCCGGCGGCTTTGACATGCCTCCCCAGCTCACAGAATTTGAGGGCTGGCTGGTCCGCCACTGGTGGTCTAGATTCTCGAGCCTTCGCGGATAGCAAAAGGACAATGTCACCTGGCCAGTTCCTCCGGTCTGCAAAGAGATTGAGTCGCGCGACACGGATTCGGTTCATCTAGAGGGCAACCTCTGCAGTCTCTCCTACGACAGTCTGTGAAGGAGACGGAAGGGTTATTCAGTTCACTGAGAGAGAGAAGGCGGCTTATCCAAAACGCTCGCCACTGCTATTTTCTCTTTGTTGTGTGGAAGATGGGGAGGATAGGGGTTGTTACTAGTTTGGATTCTACCTGTGCGGACGGAGTACCCCGAGCGACTGTATCTAGAGTTGCAAACCCGTTGCCATGAAGTGTGCAGATGGTTCCGTGTTAGTACTATAGGCCTGGCTCTGTGCGTATCCAGCTTCCATCATGTCGGCCAACTTTCCGCTTTCCCAAACGCCCTCGCAGACATGTGCCGAGCGAAGAATGTTCAAGGCGCGCCTGTAATGTCTCTCCTGGCCACTGTAACACCAAGCAAATGATGCCGACGACAGGACACGGCTCTCAATCTGGAAGGTCCGATTCTTTGAAGACAGGTGGTGGATCAATTCCCCGGCACAATCCAAGATGCTGTCCGCAAGCAACGGGTCCCCGCCTGGTGTCTCGTCGAGCATTGTTTCCCACACACGTTGCCGTAATATGAGCATGGTTATCTGTGGACGCTCCGATGGCTGAACGCCCCTCTGCTCAGCCTCGGCGGCTGTCTTGGCAAACCGCGCCCTCCAGTGCCTGAATCGCTTGACAAGGAAACGAATGGCAGGAATGTAGGTCGGGCCGATAATCCGGTGCAGGGCACTGGCTCGATCCAAAGGCGAGTCGCCTGGGAGGGTCTTTGCAATAACAAAGGCTCTGCTGTTGTAAGTCGAAAGCTCCTCGTCAAGTTCCCACAGCGCATCACTCGCGTCGGCCAGGGTAGGGAACGTTGTCTGCCATTGATTCTCTGTCCAGCCCGCAAAGCACGTCCCGCGCGAGCGAAACTCGGGCACAATCTGGTCCTGGGCATATAAGGCTGCTTCGACGCCGAGCCGAGAGAAGAGCGTGCTGATCTCACTCAGAGCGTCTGTGCAGCCGACGTTGACTGTGCTCGCCGGCCCTGTTCCCTGACCTACAATGGGAAGCAATAGCTGCGCACCCGCCCTGAGATGGCGCACCGACTCGGAGGCGCAGCCTCGGATGCTCTCCAGGCAGTAGAAGAGCAGGCAGCAAGTCACCACGATCCGGATGTTGGGCGCACCCCGGCCGACATATGAGGCAGCAGACGGCGGATTGCCTGGTTATATTCGAAAATGGACAAATGGTCCATTCGCTCCATCACCTGCGGATCGAGAGCGCCAACATGGCGTTGCAGTGATGCCTGGTGAGCTGCACCCACTGCCATGGCGGCATGTCTCACGGCTGGTATGGCGTTGCCAAAAGGCAAAACGTGGCGATTCCAGAACGTGGCGATTCCAGAACGTGGCCGATGTTGGAGACGCCGCGGCAAGGTCCTCGATGGTGCGAGTACGGAATGGCGAAACAGGACCGTGGCCGGCCCGCCATCGAAGGCTTCTGCAACGAGGCCAGCTGGCGAGGCAGCCAACAGGAGGCCGGTCCTGGGCTCAGCGTATACCTGAGCTGCCAGATGTTCCCTGGCCAGAGTCTGCGTCTTTGGGGGGGCGTAACCGTCGCATTTTACTTTGCCGTCCCGACCTAGCCCTTGGGTCAGTGTCATCGAAAACGCATGTGCCTTGGCACGGCATATTGCATTTGCATTTGCATCACGTACATCTCCTGCACGTCGGTTTTTCCTCGTCGCATTTGACGTGGCGGATCCTAGTAAAGAGTCGCGAGGTTGATTCCACAAGCAGCGACATGAACGCGACCGTGTAAACAACTCACTTGCTGCCGAAAGTCGTCAGCTTCCTGTTATCCTGTGGGCTGTTACTACCTGCACTGTGTCGGTTGGCCTACCATGTCAAACACCCTGTTCTAGCCTTGGGCGCAGATGTACTCTTGTACTTTGGCTCCTCTCTGCTGCGCCTTGCAAGAATCCTCATAATGATCTGGTGGTTTTAGGGTGTGATAAGGACAAATTTACACGGCCAGAAGCCAGTAATTATTCCAGGGGGGATTCCCTTAGGTAAGATGCAGTCTAGCCCGAAATCTACTAGAAAGAGTTAGTACCATAATGCCGCGCGCCACAAAAAAAAACACCAAGCGCGGGCATCAAGAACCACATTTTCCCTTATTGGCTAACGCGATGGCCTGACTTTAAGCACTTCTGCCAGCCTTGGGATTTCCTCACATGCTTCTAGCTGTAATAAAATCCGATACGAGAACAGGTAGAAGCAGCAATATACATGCCCAGACGCTGAAATATCCGAAATACCCATGACCTATGTATTTTCGCACTTAAAAAGAGCGGTCTGAAGAAAATCGTACATAAGCATTTATATTTGATTCACGATGTTTCACTCCCAAATAAAATAAGAATCGTCCTGCATTTAAATTATTTCCGCATAGATCTTCACTACGATATAACTGTTATATTTTAGTCTGGTTAGAGTTAGCTAGCTAAACATGACTGAGGTGTTGTCTGCCTTTGTTTAGGAATATACCTGTACAGGGTAGTTCCTCCAGTCAAAGTATTTTTAATATACCACCAGCTGTGATATAATGGCATCAGCTCACACAAACCGAGCTTGGGCGGTAAGACGGGGGCAGTCAAACTTATAGGCGATGGCCTAGCCCAGGTGAACGGAATCAACGAGATCATGCGGACGTGTTATCATATTACACTGAGCGAAGCGAGCAGAGCGGACCACGTCTATGGCCCCATAGTTGCTCAGAAGCATCCAAGATAGCATTCATTACACCCTGAAATATCTGGAACCAACACCACAAAGATGCCGTATGTTAATCGTTCTAGTTGGTCAAATAAATCTTGCAACCTGTTTAGAGGTGACTACTCTATTCCAAAATACATCAAACATACATTCCAGTTTGAAGAACCCGTAAAACAGTCCCCGGTAGCAATGCATGACCCCGGCCTTACGAGTTGCCTTGTATGCAACTGATTTGCGAGTTTGTACCTTTGGCGTCAGACGCCAATTTATATTGTTGCTTGGCGAGGGCAGCGATGAGTAGATGATATGAATTTAAACTCTAGAGTAAATAACAATCACCAATTTGGACAAGGAACACCTTTCCGCGCTCAGGCTTAATAAATTTGACAAGACGGCGCAGAGATAGATCGATAGCCGCGTGTCCGTCGGGAACCCGGGAAGAGGGTGCCGCTGGGTCTGCAAAGATGCGCCCGGCGATATGCACGGCATCAAGACACAGGCCCAAGTTTGGACGATCAACTGCCTTGATCACGTCCCAACTATATTCCCACTTGTCAACACGGGTAGCTGAGCACCGAGCTTCGAATGTGAAGCGGATGTGAGGTGTCTCAGTTTGAGCAGCATCGGCGGCCTTTTGCAGGTCCTTTATGATCAAGTCTCTATTGCCGACCTGATCTGCTGGCAATGCGCTCGCAGGCATCATGATCATATCCGTGCCTAGGGCTCGAGCGACCTGAATCCAAACTTGGAATTCTTGAAACCGATTTTCGTGCTCGTTCCGGTCTAAAAGTCCCTCGTAGTCTCTCAGAAATTGGACACATATGATCTCAAGATTTCTCTTCTTGCACATGCTCTTGATATCCCATGCGGCAGTGTACTTGTCGGACTCTGAGGGCTCAGTGTTGGTGTTTTGATATTGCTGAGCGACGCGAATGACATCATCGTAGGAGACTTCAACACCGCAAAATCCGTATTTTTGGGCGGCGTCCAGCCTAGTTTCTAGGGTGTGGCCCGCAGAGCCATGGCCTAGTGAAGCAGTTGGGATACCAAGCTTGCAAGTCATGAGCTTTTTGTTGTCTCTTTAAATTTCCAATTTGGGGGATTCAACCGTAGATTGAGAATAGAGGGAATGGTAGTTGGGTATTCGTCGTATTAGAGCGATGTAGACTGCAAAAATACCATAGCCTTCATTGTAGCCGATTCAGCTATCTCAAGATCCAACACCATCTAGATACCAATAACGACCCCATACAGGGCTGTGGAGTATCTTGGCTTTCAGCTTGGCTTGCCGAGTGATCTTCGCTCTTCTAACCCATCTAGGATATATATTGAGACGATCAGAGTCAGCCTACATGAAGAGGGATATAGATGCTACATCGCCGAAAAGAAGGTCACTCCATCCTTGACAAACTATTTATGATAGGACGAGAGAAAATGCTCATTTTCTACATAGTATTTCAGCTCGCATGTCTGTCGAGTATGTTGCAGATCGCTAACACAAAGGGTAGTAGGACTCATAATATTCCCCAGTTTCAATATATTTCACTGCGGTAGCAGTGAAGTATAGCCATAGATAGCCTTACTGAAGCGGTATGTAACATCTTGGCCAAGTGGAGAGCTGAAGATCAGTTTTTGGGTAAGATTTGTCGTTGTGGGTGGCGGGTGTCTGTAAAGCAATAAAGACGGCTTCGTTAACTACAAGTTCAAGAGTATATTATGTTGCATTCTTTCAAGTCATCTCAATTGGTTCAGATAGCAACATAACAGAGAATTGTTTACCTCATTATCCAAGCAACCTTTAGTCATGGCATCTTTGGCTTCGAGCCCCATTTCGACGCACACTTGCAAGGATGTCGCTTCCCCAGCTACTAGCCCACTGCTAGGCTTCCTGTTGAATTTCGCACAGACAAGACAGGATAAGCCGTACGTGGAAGTCATCCATAGACAGAATCGAAGTGGTTTGTGGACCATTGGCGATGGATTCAGAAAGGATGTTCAACCCGGAGCGGAGAGCGAAGTTCCGGACGAGAGTGCGCAAGATGAAAAGGTCTACACAGACCTTATCAATAGCGACGGGTTGTCTCCCGTATCCAATGGTCCCACGGTGAGTAACAAAAATAGTTTGAGCAGGAACCATGAATGAACTTGGCTCACACTAATGGCAGGTCACGGTTGTTGGAGCAGGCATATCAGGCCTTGTCGCAGCCTATGAGCTGAAGCGTGCCAAGTTCAAGGTCCGGATTCTGGAGGCGTCGTCTCGTGTCGGCGGTCGCATTATTACCCGCCGCGACCCTGAATTTGCGCCTGGTCTGCATGCTGAAGGAGGTGCCATGCGTATCCCAGCCAACCACTACCTACTACGCGAATATATCAGGAAGTTCAACATTGACCAGTATATGCCGTTTGAAATGGCAAACAAATTCATCTACCTTGCTGGTTATCGTGGGGGCACAACTTTGACATATGATGACTTTAACGAGAAGCTCCGGCAGCGGGATCCAGACCTTCTAAGCCTCTTTCCAAATCTTCATGACAATGAGAAGGGTCAGACGGTCGACGACCTCTTTTTTGCTGCCGTCGAGCCCGTCGTACAGCTATTCAGGAAGTATTATGCGGTACCTGGTGATGAGTCTACCAGGATTCGCAATGCCTATCAGGAGGTTACTAAGGCTTACGACAAGTACACCCTTCGTTCATACCTGACAGATGTTGCTGGGTGGAGCACCGACGCCTTGAACCTTTACGATCTGGGCAACGCTCACGTGGTCTTTGAGAACGGATTTATCGAGTCATGGAAGGATGCTTTCCTCTCGAGCAACACAAGTGGAGCAGACGCCGGCATGCAGCAGCTCCAGAATGGCATGGACCAAGTCCCCAAAGCATTTATCTCTCCAGATAGAGGCGATCTGTCTCTTGCCGAGGACATTACCTACGGCGCTCGCGTGATAAACATCACTGATCTGGACCCTCCCAAGGATGGATCGTCACCACAGATTGAACTCGAATACGAAACGCCCACGGGCTTCAAGCAGAAGGTGAGGTCCGACTATATCGTCCTCTCCGTGCCCTACACAGCTCAACGTGCTATTGCCAAGTCCAAGGCATTTTCCCCGGCAATTGAGCAGGCCATTCGTGACGTTCGATATATCGAAATCACCAAGGTCCTCTTGCAGTACTCGAAGCGCTGGTGGGAACATGAATTCAGCAAGCGAAACCAAGGAACCGACGGGGGGCTGATCAGTGACCTGCCTATCCGCTATACAATGTGCCCAGTCGGCAAAGACAACGAGCAGTTCAAAAACACTCAGCGCAGCACCATCATGGCCGCATACACGTTCCAGCAGGACTCGACTATTCTGGCTTCCATGACGCCGGAGCGCCGAATCCGCGTGGCTGCCGAGAACTTGAACACAGTCTTTGCCGAGGCAAACTCGCTCGACTACCTCGAGGCCGGGGCCTCGCAGGCGTTCCCTACCGACGAGCTTGCCGGTGGTAGTGCCTTCACCTATTTTGCGCCAAAACAGAAGACTCAGTACCTCGAGACCATGCGGTCGCCCGACTGGGCGTACCCTGAGGGATCTAGCAACCATAGAGTCTTCTTCGCGGGAGAGCATGCCAGCTATACTCACGGATGGATCCACGGCGCCATGGAGGCTGGTTTGCGATGCGCACAGCAGGCTCATACATCTGCAAACAGTCTTCCAAGCAAGCAAGTTTATGAATCAAGCTTTGATCCTGGTTTTGGTTTTGTCTAGGTCGTTTGCCATTGACCGACTGAAGTCCAAGCTTGGCATGTCACAAATTAGGTTGGAATGATTTGCTCTTCTTAGCAGGTGGCTTGTGACTTTGGATAATGCAGTGTTTGAGTTTGTAACGGCACTTGAGATATAATCCATTAGGTAGGATCAAGACCGTTCAAGTAGGATATGGCTATATAGTTGCTTGGCTGGGATTGATGAGTTTGGAACAGAAATATGAGATATGCAGGATGACTATTCCATGCATGTAGCCTATCATTTGGCGTGTTAGTAGAATGCTTAATAGCAAGTGGAAGAACTGTGAAAAGGAACCTCACCATCGTCGGGTGCGTATAGAAAGTCTCACCCCAGCCATGAGCATGTCCCCCTCGGTGTAGCGACATATTTCAGTCAACCTGACGTCTTGTTTAGTATTACCTAGGGGAGCGGTGCGTAGGCTCGATTAATGTGAACTAATTTTGGGGAGCGTGTTTGTACAGGGGCAAATATCATCCATTCCTTGAGCATATCACACGGTAAGCTGCGTCGAGTCGTTCACGGATCAGTCGACATGGTCGACTCCGGCCTGGCGCGTTCCGATGTATGTACGATGTTGCTCCATGTCTACTAATTTCGACCCTAGCGAGACGGTGCTCAACAAACTGAAACCATACACAAGATCGACTTGTCTTAGACATATGGGCTGTTGGATTGCTAAGGGCTAGCTTAGAATGCTTCGCATTTATGACTCCCTCTGATAAAGCAAGTCGCCGATCCGTACTAGATTGTGACATATCAAAAGAACAATACAATATTTTTAAAACCTGCAGTATTGAGTAGGTAGAGTTACGACAGCCCTATCCTCAGCCATAAAATCTGTACAAATAGGGCTAGTAAGGAAGACTGGGCAATGGTGGTATAACAGGCATATCAAATCTTCTCCAGTATTCCTTCAAATACACCTTGGACATGGGGAGGCGTGGATTTATACATTTATGAAACTGGAAATTCACCAAGTGTCGGATAGTATAGCAATGACTGCTATAACTAATGAGGTAAAATGAGGGAACATTTACTTGAACATTTAAAAAAGCAGACCAAACATGACCACAGAGACCAACCAGAACATAAAATGAGTTATAATCATACGGCTAAAGGCTTATGCTGACCAATGATTAATTTGGCTCCATCAAGGGACCTTGTAGAAGTGCTATGCAATGCTAAGCGTTGATTGCTGGAATCTCAAGCGAGGTGAGCTTCCAAGTTTTGCCTCCGTCGGATGTTGACATTTCTCCCCCCGTAGCTCCCTGATCCCAGTTACCCGTATGGCCAAAGCTTGGATCAGCTTGACTGAGCGTGATGGTAACGTCTTCCCAGCCTAGGTTCTCTGTCAGCTACCGTTTGGTACGCAACTCTGAAAGTGCAGAAGTCTTACTGTGAGCTGGGGCAGTAGAGCAAGTTCCCGCTGCGCACTCGACAGAAATGTAGAAAATCCATCCATGCTGTCCCTTACCTATCGAGCTGTGTGTTAGCATTATGCTGGTGAGACCGCAAACGAAACTTACTGGTAGAGATGCTAGAGACAAGTTGGTTGTCGATGTAAACATCCTGATCCCATTCCTGGGTGGAGGAGTTAAGTTTGTCTGCGAAACATACAAGTTAGAACCTGCTTCAAAGCTACAGCCAGTCTTTACATACAATGCGTCTTGACTCGAGAGCCAGGTGCCGCTTTGACAGGGTTGCCATTCTTTGGCTCGGAGCCTGGTATATAATTTCTTAGCAGCGGGATTTGTATACACGAAACTAATCAGGCGGCTTACTCCCGTTGATAAGGGCATACGCAAAGTTGCACCATTGCTTTCCAAGATTGTCGCAGTATCCCAAACTGTCAGGTTTCAGCAAAGCACTAATCTGAAGAGGTCCACGGTCGTTTGACGTCTTACCCGGCAGGAGCATTCTCAGTAACTCCTTGGAGGAAAGAGGCCTGATTTTCCATCATAATGGCGCTCCATAGAGCTACATCTCCAGTAATGGGATTGGGAACATCTCCAAGAACAAGAGTTGCTGAAGCCTCCTGGATATATGCGTTGGACTTGGCGTAAAGTGTGACGACATCCTTGTTCGCCACCACTTGCTGGCCAGAGAAAAAAGACACCAACACGCCAATTGCTGCAAAAGACTTCATATTCGAAAAGGTAAAGGAACTCTGAGTATAAATGCTGCGCAGGTAAAGAAAGAAAGTGGTATACAGAGACTTGATTCGGGGATTTTCCAGTGCCGTTCAATCGATATTTATAGGCGTTGAATACGAGGGACGGAAAATTCAAGTCTTGAATGTATTTACTGTATGATAAAACCTGAAACAGAAATTACATAATAGTTTAGGAAGAAACAAAAGTGCCCAGCATTATTCTCGGAAGCTCAAGTTCCGTGGAGTTTCATCTTAACCCTCGCTGTAACACTACCTGGTCATCTACTTTGGTCATGTCAAATGTAGCACTAACAATGAATACCCACCAATTGGAACTGCTCTACACTCGTATATACGCAAATGTCTCAGCCAACCCATGATACGGTATACTGGTGTATGGGAATTCTATTATACTCTCATTTTTAGCTCTTGCGGTATAATTTGTCCCTCCAGAGTATATATTTGCCGGATTGGTTTACTACTGGGACAATAATATGAGACATTGCTTGTCAACTTCATTAGCAGACACCTTAATTCAATCACAGCTTCAAACCTCGCGGCTTTACCGCCGGTTGCAGAAGCGGTTAATAGCATGGGATAATATGTTAAAAAGTATATTACCGGACTGTGATAGATTTATTAACAGTGTTGCATCCTTCAGTTGCAAGGCGCCACAACACTTGCCGAACGCACTTGCCGAACTCTGTCGAGATCCTAGATATCAATACCTTCTACGGTCAATTACCCGTCAGCCTCAAATCCAGATTGGACATACTTCTCCTTAAACTCGCTGAATAACTTGTTCAGCCCCAGTGCATCGAGCGGATCCGCGTTCTCATCCTCGTCCATTGCACCGTAATCTCATTCCACTTTGAGCATAGACCTTGCAAAAGTGTCTCTTTTCGTTGTCCGTATACGGCCTGCAGTCGACAATCATATTCACCTCGCTGTCGCATTTGAACATCTTCTGAAACCGGTGGCCACCAATATCCAAGGCCCTATAGTTTCGAAATGCAAACTCCACATTAGTGAGGGCGACTCTGCTCTACCCTTGCCTGGGGCTATCCTTAGCAAGCACATTGCAAAACTATACATCATGAGCGCACCAGCCTGATTTTGAGCAAAAAAAAAACATCTATCGTTTTACAGTAATACATTTGTGCCAAATAGCAACTACGAAGAGAAGTTGTGCAATATCAATCTATCAATAGTAAAAGAGTAGCTATATCGCATATAAATGTTCCCATTTCCCCTTGTTGGCTGCTCCTAGAAATGATGCGTTTCAGCACATCTATAGGGGATAGAGGAAATGCTTGTTCTCCAGATCGGTCAAGTCGAGCATAGCAACGTCAACCTTTTGACAGTATCGCCTCTATCGCTAGACTGCTCAACATATCCCTCACCATAATTGCCTAATGCAGCCTGCTCTGCGATCCACTGCCTACGTTCCTTGTTTCGCTTGGAGAGAATGTACCTAATGAGGATTAAAATGAGCGGCGTTAAGGTGAAGCTAACAACGATCTGAGTGATCCAGGCGCCATGGTAGCGCGGTCCTCCTGACTTCCACAGCTGCGGGGAGATAATGTTCGAAATTACGTAAAAGACCATGAACATAGCGTTACGAGTGAGTCGCTTAGTGTAGCCAGCACAGCTCGAGGACAACCAGCCAACCGAGATGATCCAAGTTTGCGCAAAGCAATTAGGAGGGATCAGCAAGCAGGCCAACATCGGGATTGTCTCGCCCCAGGAGATCGTAACTATGCCAATGCTTGTAGCAATACATGGCAGACTCCACAGTGCTGCCCAGTAGGCGTTGTAACCAGGGAAGATGCGGATAAGCAGGAAGGCGACGATACAACAGATGATTGCAAAGCCACCAGATGCAACCCAAACCAAGGTTGATCCAAGATCCGATACACCAAGATCAAGAAACAAAAGACTCTGCTGGTAGGGTAGGTTATTTGCCAGCATCAGTGTGAAACCTGCACTGGCAAAGAGCCAAGATACAGGATCTCGCAAGGCCTCATGAAACTGATACTTCTTGAAAGTCTTCTGCTCAATAGCGCTTCTCGTCGAATTTTGAACCCGACGGATAGTCTGAATTTTCTCTTCCGTGCTCAGAAACCAGGCCGTTGCAGGGTTGTTGGGATATGCCACCCAGGTGAGTCCAGACAGCAGAAGCGACATTCCACCGGTAATGATCATGAAGAACTTCCACGGGCTGACAGCGGCCTTGCTGAAAAGAAGGCCATACGAGACGAGGCCAGTGAACATGGGCGAGCCGATGCAGGAGATGTAGAAGAGGGGTTGGACCTGGTGGACCTCCTCTGGCGTGAAAAACATGTTCATGGTGATCTCCAGAGCAGGAATCATAGGCGATTCAACGAATCCGAGGAAGAACCTTAGTGGGATAAGAGCACCATAGCTCTTGGCTACGCAGTGGAGGAATATAATGACAGCCCATGCAAAGATGGTTCCGGAGATGTAAGTCCGAAGGCGGAGACGCTGGATCAGGAATTGACCTGGAACTTGGCCAAGGATATAACCTAGGCATTTAATTAGCCTCTGTGTAAGTAGAGTCTCAAAGAATTTTTTCACTTACCTGTATAAAACAGCGAGTTGAGATTGTTATACTCAGCGTTATCCAGTCCAGTGTCCTGGAAAAGACCAAGAAGAGTTGCTTGACCTAGAGTGGATTTGTCGACCTGGAGAGTGGTATCAGCATTATTCGGAATTGTCCCTCAATGTCCTAAAAATACACACATAAAGCATAAAGTCGATAAAGTAACCAGAACAAGAATATAGATATAAAGCTTCCTTTTCAGATGTTGTCGATGTTTTGCTCAACCCAGGTGTTGTTAGCGGTAATAAAACCCATTCTTCCAGGTGAGGTTGTGGCTACTTTAATGTCCTTTGCTTAATGCTCAAAGTTGGTACTCGTCTCTGAATCTCAGGTAATAGTGTATATGTCGAACAATTCTGCGGCGTTTACAATATCGAGCCGCGATCGCATCATCTGAGCTGAATATAATTCGTGGGTCCCAAATGGGGTGACTTGAAGCTCCCGTATCATCACTGATTCCCCATCAAGCTCACAGACGGCGTCTATCGTCTAGTTGGGCTTAGCATTATGAGTAGGAGATATATACCTGTCTCGTACTTCTTATCGAAAGGGACCGGAGAGCCCGAGCCGCACGCTAAAGCATGCACAGGGTATTGCTGAAAATGTGCTTGCCGGCAAGGTGCATCCGAGTGTAGGCTGTAGGACCCATATTTGTTGTCAATCAACCGCAATACAACAATATCAAAAGCAAAAAGCCCGTGCTGCCCAACAGATAAGCAGCTTCATCACAATGGTGGTAGGGGTGTGGAACAATGAGTGGCCGAAGTGATGCGACGGTGTGGGATCCATACCACATGCAGACACAGGCATTAATGCGTTTCATGTCACGCTCGGTTAAAAGGAAATCGATTTATTACTGCAGGTAAAGATATGTGTGTGTATTCTGATGCTTATTCACAGGCTTTGTCAGAAAACTGTTGTTGGTTGGCAAGAAGGATGCCAAGCTGCAGTGGTAGGCTTACACGCATTGGAACTTCAGACTGCCTGCAGACCATTGGTCCTGCTTATTATTATTAATTGCATTTTAATGTTATGCAGATCATATTAGAATTTGTAAGATACAGAAAAGAACTTGAACGGTACCTATCAAGCACCACACATAGCCCTTGAATGCTCCTAGAGGCTATTTCGCAAGCTTATGGCTGTTTCGCCAAGGAAATCAACAAAAAGGTTGGATTTAAATCTAGAGATAAAGAATAAAGCCTAAAACCTCCAAGCCTGAAGTGTAGGGAATTTAGAGTGCTCTCTTTGTGATCCGAACCTTAAAGTCTTCATCTTGGGTGATGCCCATGATGCCTAGGCCAGGCGTGCACTCGTCACCCATTGGTAATGCGGCATCGCCGACAATTTGCAAATGAAAACGATGCAAGATCATAGTGACACAAGCCTTAATCATATGCTCAGCAACGAAACGGCCCGTGCAAAGCGTGCTGCCGCCCCCAAACGGTCTCCAGCTGCCTCCCCGAGCACTATTCTTCTTGCTCAGAAACCTCTCGGGGCGGAATTCGCGCGCGGATTTACCCCACGCGTCCCCATCCAAATGAAGCAGCCTGGAGGGAATCAATATTTTGTTCCCCTGCCGTAAAAGTCTTCCACCAATGATCGTGTCCTTGTTGACACAGCGAACAGATGCCCCCGTGGAAGTGGCGCGTAGAGTCTCGAGCCAAATCGACTCTAGTTGAGGACATAGTTCGTGGTTTGAGAGATATGTGGGGTCAATGAGCTTGCCAGCATCGAAAGCGGCCTTTGTCTCCTCCAGTACTGCTTCTATTAGATGAGGGTTGTAGAGTAGGAAAGTTAGCATCCAAAATGCAGCCCGGCGTGTATTGGTGTTGATACTGCAGGCAAGAGTTAAGTTGGGTTATTGAATAGCGTGGTCAAGTTCCCGAAAGACTTACGTCAAGTAAATTGTCAAGAAAAGCGTAGCAATATCCTCGTCCGTGACACCCACTGATCTGAGGCCTTTCTCAGCAGAGTTGGTAAACCAAGCCTGCTCGCCTCTCTCGCTCTGGGGGGTTTGAAAGTACAACTTCAAACTTTGACAAAGACGGGCATGGGCAGCCTTCATTTCACTAGCAAATATCCCTGGTATCTTGTATGTTATCTGCCAGCTGAGCTCATCGAATATATAGAACATGTCCGAGAACTTGTCGTCGATACCAGCCAGCGTATCACCAAAATAGGCATACTCCCCTGATCGCGTGAAGAAGTCACCGCACCATTTATACAAAGATATTTCAACAACATTATTTGATATAACGGTGGAGTTCCTTATGCGATCTATTTGCAGATCGCGGTCAAAGGAATGCAGAAAGCGCTTTTCTACATTCTTTTGATTGTCTCCGGGATGAAGCTGATGGACATGCATATGCCGAACGAGAACGCCTATCGGGTCTTCTGATGGGTTTGGGAAGTCGGCCCCATGCTCGGGCAACTTCTTGAAATAGCAGGCTTTCATACCCTCATCGCTCACACCAGTGCTCTTGACAAAGTCAAAAATAAACTCGTCAAAAGAAAGCGTGCCATTGTTCTTGTCCACCTCCTTGGCATGTTTGGGATCCGAGATGACGTAAAACTTGGTGCCGAAAATTGTAAAAGCAAACGGTGATTTATCCCTACCAACCGAATTTCTATGTATCAAATTAGCTATACTGCACCACGAACGGTATTCTCTCTGGACTGACTGCGCCTTGGCTAGGAATAGTTGAGAATTCTTGAAAAACGGAATGGCGTTTCCTAGATCGATTAACATTTAAACATAAGACTCTCGATAGCTACGGGTGTGACAAACCAACATCTGAGAAAGTTTCGTTAGTTTGTACACTTCATTGTACCGAAGAAGTACATAATATCGAACAAATGGCCAATACTCACAAGGGATAAGATAGGGCATCTCATTGGGCTCCCTAGGGTGTTGAATCGGCATGAATTTGAACTTGGTATACCACCAGGCGGCCCAGGCAGCTAACAATACCACAGTTCCACAAAATACAAATACCTGGAACTCATTCATACTCTGAAAAGTATCCATCAAGCCAAGTGCTAGACGTTGAGCTACTCCAGGGGAATCCATTGCACAGGTTGGCGTTCTCACTGGTAACGGGAAATAGACGGGAAATCAAACTCCAATTGAAGCAACGAGCAGCCCAAGACGCCGAGAATAGCTCGATATCAGCTGAAATATTTGATGATCAACACTACTGAGAGGACTGCACGACATATAAAGTATCTTAATCCCCCCCCCATACAGAATGTTTTAAGTGGGGGTTTGAGGTTGACCTGAGCTGGCCTTGGCAGAACGGACACAATGGCACATCGGACCCCAATCCAAATGAAAAGAGACTAAGGAGATTACCCGAAAGTTGCATAATATTGCTTTTCAGCAGCCCGTTGTTCCGAGCTATCCTGAGAGATTGATAGGCTATGAAGAGCCAACAGTGCTTACGTGTGAGGGTGGTAACATGCAATGTGGCCGTGATGATCCTTCGTTTTTTGCTTCAGTTGCTACCAACGACGTAAATGGGTCGGCCTATTACCCGCAGAGAATACATGGCAGCCAACAAATCCTTCGTGACCTCATTCTTACAGGACATGAAGATGCATGCGAACTTACATATTGTATGACGTAATGTGATAACTTGCACAAGTGTGCAATATCCTTATCTACAGGAACATATGGTGTTCTCCACTGCTGTAAGTCAGCCTTGTGCCTAAGACTATTATCAACTTGCCAACCAAGTATGTGATAGTGCGTCTCTAGTGCACCAAGGTTCCTCCCACCGGATGGCCGTCGACCTCGTCAGACCCCCAAGGCTCCTCCCTCTTTCTCTTGTCCTAGATAGCGGCCTAGATAGCTGCCTAGATACGCCTCCCTTGATGTCCTAGCGTCAATTATCACAAAGTGCCAACAGAACACCAAAGACCTGAAATAAGGAGGTTGGAATTTGCAAATGAAGTGAGTAGGAATAATTATGCAGATAGAACATTTCCAAGTCTGCTGGTCTATATTGACTAATATTGTGGTTCCTACGAAGTGGCCGAGCCACTTTGAAGCTACAGGGATGCTAATGTTCGAAAGAAAGACTATACATCTCCGAATAATACAGATGTATGTTTTTTTTTTAGATAGTTTTGCAATCCTACTAATATTGGCTGTTTTAGAATGAGCCAAGATATGGGGCCGAGGTAACATGTTGCCTACACTATAATTTTCAAATTGACATGGGCGTCTTATCCAGGATGCGACCCTTTCCTTTCCACCTCCTGACGCAACTGAGCATGATAGTTGAGATCCGCACTAGCCACTGTTAGAATCTCGGTCTGCATTTTGGCAGGCCTGGTTCTGTTGAAGTTTGACATGAAAGTTCTCATCCCAGTCATGGTTCCTCTCGGAACCTCGGGGAGACCGTTTTCTTCAAGGCCTTCATATCGAAGCATCTCGATGTCACTATCTTTGCTCCGATCGGAAAACTTTCTGCTAGTAGAAATAGAGGACCGAATTCGGCTAAGAAACTGGGTGGACCACGAATTGAACCCTTTGAAGAGAATAATGATTACAGGCATGCAACTGCATATAATGCCGATATTGATCTCAGCGACACTATAAAATATCAGAAATCTCACGTACTCTTTGAACATCAGCAGTGGGTATGGAGGGCGCTCACCTTGTCCCGTATATAGGCATGGCTTTCTCCGGGTTCTTTCATTTAGCTGCTAATACTTGCACATGCCCACCTCGGCAGCATTCTTCTCTTAAACTCATTGGAATATTGTTTTCTTCTTTTCATCCATCTCATCGACTCGTATAGACGATAGGTGCTGTTATCAGTTCAGACATGAATAATATTATCTTAATCGCTGTTCTCTGGGCTGCAGCCCTATACACGCTTCTCCTTGGATTGCTGCACTGGTCTCAAGACCCCAGAGAACCGCCTGTTTTGCTGGATAGAATCCCATTCTTTACTCCCATTACTTCCATTCTATCAAAAAGATTCAGGCTTTACCTCCATTTATTGTGGGTGTCCGTCATCATAAATTACTTCGTGAACAGGTACTAATACTCAATATTAAGTGAACAGTATAGGCTGCCAATCTATACTTTACGCCTACCTTTCTGTCGTCTATATATCGTCAACGAAACTAAATTGGTTACTTCAATCGAACGCCAGGCAAAGTTGATTGCGTTCCAGCCTATAGAGGCAAAAGCCTGCTCAAACCTGCTAGGAATGAGCGAGCATGCGAAAAGAACCATGAGCGATAATCCAACGAGTGATGAAGGACACTTTGTCACATTTCACAAGGCTTTCGGCCCAGCTGTTGGCCCAGGGCCCAGTCTTGATGCAATGATTTCCAGGGCAGCTTGTTCTATACAAACCTCTCTTCATGATACTCGAGCACAAGGCGTCACCAGGGTTCGTCTTTTTAAGTGGATCCAACATGAAATCACCATCGCAACAACAGACGCTGAATTTGGACCTGGAAATCCTTTCCGCTGTCCCGAGTTTGAAAGTGCTTGGTAGTAGGTTGAAGGCGTCCTTTGACCGTTGTTTTCACGGACCCACGCTAATGAAAGCAGTGAACTTGAACCAGGAGTTCCTTTCATGGCCACAAATGTTCTGCCGACAATCTTGGCCAGAAAAGCTCTGAAAGCGCGGGAATATCTCACAAAGGGATTTGCCGAGTACTTTCGCTGCGGGCATCACAAGACTGCCTCGGAAGGGGTTCTCGTACGTCTCAATCACTCTCTCCAAGCGGGATTCACCATGGATGATGTTGCCCGAGGAGAGATTGGGTCAACCATTGCAATCCTCAACAACTCCGTCTCAGCCGCCTTCTGGATGATACATCACGTATTCTCAGATCCCTCTGTCCTTGACGAATGCAGAAAGGAAGTTGATGCTGCGATGCGGGTTGATCATGACAGGTGCACTGTTGATTTTTCAATTATCAAAACATCTTGCCCTGCTCTACAATCCACATTTCAAGAGGTTCTGCGTTATCGCGGAATTGGAAATCTCATCGTCAGGCAAGTTCTAGAAGACCACATCCTGGATAGCCGATTTCTTGTCAAAAAAGGTGGCCTTGTTCTCATCCCCAACGCCGTCCAGCACTTCAAGAACGATATATGGGGAGATGACGCTGGTGAATTTCATCACCGAAGATTCGTCAGCAGCGACGCACCAGGTGGCCTCAAGCGCTATAACCAAGCGGCATTTCGCCCGTTTGGTGGTGGGTCCTTGCTGTGCCCTGGGAGGCACTTTGCAACAACAGAGATCCTCTGCTTTGCTGCGTTGATGGTGGCTAGTTTTGACGTTAAACCTGTGCATAGTGGTTGGTCGCGTGTCAAAACTGACCGGTCGTTTGGGATGGGGGTGGCCAGGCTGTTTCTGCTGCCTGACGCCGACATTGATGTCGAGATGCAACCCAGGGGTGACTTGGCTTTGCAATATGCACTAACTGGCACATGGAGTAAATACGAGAGACAATGAGGAGATTTTTGGGTAGGCTTATATTACAAAATTGGCAACGATCAACATATACTTTGAGAAATTTATACTTTGTTTTTATATTGAGTGAGAGAGCGCTTTCTTTTTTTCTTCTTACGACTGTAAAAAAAAAACACTACTGGGCCATTAACAGCGCCGAACTTGCTGGTTGTTGAATTCAAGGTTATCTGTGCATTCATGGGTACCAAACTTGACCGTCACAGCATTTGGAACTTTCTCCTCGAGTGTAAGACCAACGCCTAAGACCAACACTGCCACGTAGCCAACTGCCTATATTAGATACGGTACTTCTCGATACCCCAACAACCATCGCCCACTAATCCATTGCTGCAGGTCCATGCAGGCAACATGAAGGCAACGAAGAGGCAGGCAACTGGCGGCTAGGCGGCCGCCAAGGCTCACTATTAGGAACTTGATCCTCTATCCATACCTAGATCAAATAATGTATTACAAGGGGGCCCGCAGCGGGCCGAACCTTGGCTTACGACACTGAATGCCTCCAAGGAATCGTTGATGCCAAGGAGCGCGCACGCAAAAGTTCGTGTCACTGCGCCACAAGGTTCCATTGCAGAACTGTTGGTCCTCTTAATTATCAGCAGCGCATGAGGGGTATGACTGTAACAATGCAATTCAATTTCCTCTCAGCCACCTACGCAACCCAATTTTCTCTAAGCCTCCTACCTCCCGCCAGTGCTTCTCCCTGCCATTGTCCGTTCTCGCGCCCTCCTCCATCATTTTCCATCCAGAACTCACGAGCTGCCCCAGCCTGCCAATTCTATCAGCTGCTGTTCCAAAACACAAGTCTCCCATTCGATACAGGCGTCCAGATTCTCCACCTTTCATCCGTCATCATGGCGGCTTACTGGGTGGTTGGTCTCTCACTTGCTGCATCCATCGCCATCATCAGATGGTGGCTCCTACCCAAGCCCTACCCATATATCCCATACAACAAACAGTCGGCTAGTCGTATCACCGGAGATATTCCCGACTTGGTCCCTGTCATGAAGGAATGCAACCAAGTCTCGCACTCCATGTTCACCATTACCACCCGCAAACTCGGTACTCCAATTGCCCAACTGCTCTTTCCCAATATCCGCAGACCTTTCGTCATCCTCGAAGACCCAAGAGAAATCGAAGACATCCTCCTCCGCCGAGGAAAAGAATTCGACCGAGCGGCTACGCCTTCTGCCATCTTTCAACCCATGTTCCCGCAAGCCACAGTCGCTCAGTTTACCACGCCCAAGCTCAAGGCCCAGAAACGTCTCTGGGCTGATGTTACCAGCGCCGAGTTCCTGCACAAGGCCGCGGCGCCAAACATCTACAAGGCTACCATTGAGCTGCTGGAATATTGGCGACTTAAAGCTGCGACTGTTTTCAAGGACCAAGCCTTCAATGTTCATGTTGATTTTCAACGTGCAACTTTGGACGCCATATGGGTGGCTACCATGGGCGAGGAACCTGGATTGATCAGGTATGAGATGAACAAGCTGCAATACCAACTCGAGGGCAAGTCACAGGAGGAGTTGGATAAACTCCCGCTCCCCAAGGGCATGTTTCTGAGAGATGAAGTAAGATATATTGGCGACGCTGTTGAGCGAAACACAAACTCTCCCCTGCCAAAATGGGCAGCCAAGCTGGAGACACTCAGACCGCGGTACCGCCAATTCCGGGCCGTCGTTACAAAGGAACTAACGCAGGTCATGACGAAAGCCATTGATCGCTTTGAGCGGTTGGAGCTTCATGCCCTCGAGGCCGATGAGTCTGACACATGCATGATGGACTTTGTCCTGAGGCGCAAGGTGATTGAGGCTAGGAAAGCACAAAACCCCATGGCCGATCTGACCAAAGATCAAGAGTTGCTTGATGAGATGTTTGTCATGTTGGTTGGCGTAAGTCTTTTGCCGTGAACCTTTGCTCAAGGGTATATTTTGACGACCAGATGCGTTCTAGGGTCATGACTCAACTGCCAATGTGCTGGCGTGGTTTACGAAATTTATGGAGGCATATCCTGTCGTCCAGAATGAGCTTCGGTTACAACTTAGAACGGCGTTTCCCGGTCCTCATCTTCCTTCGGTCCAGGAGATTCTTACTACTAGTATACCGTACTTGGACGGCGTATGTGAGGAGGGTTTCCGCTTGGCTGGAGTGGCTAAGGCAAACTTTCGTCAAGCCACTGTCGATACCCAGATCCTCGGCTATCCTATTCCCAAAGGCACGGAGATCTTCCTTAACTTTCACATGGATACCACACCTGCACCTATGGATAATTCAAAACGCACAGCTAGCTACAAAACTGCCACTGCCAAGCATGGTGATCTTCTTCAGGGTAACGCAGGGCGGGATCTGGATCGGTTTGAGCCTCGAAGATGGTTAGCCTCGGATCCGAAAACAGGCAAAGAGACCTTTAATCCCAATGCATTGCCAGCCCTGGCATTTGGTGGTGGCATTCGGGGCTGCTCCGGTACGTAATCTTGCCTACCGTTTACATGTACCCTTTTCTTCTTGTTTTGTTCTTTTCTTCCCTCGACTATGACTTTGGCACACCCACTCCTGGATTTATTTTTATGTGCCGTTGTTCTGTTATTAACAATATGATTACTACTTTTTAGGACGCAAGCTTGCTCAGATGGAGTTCCGCCTTATCGTCACGCTGTTGATACTGAGGTTGGAATTTCTCGAATTACCTGAGGAATACAAATCGATGGACGCTATTGAACGGGTGTTCAGGGCTCCCAGTAAGCCTTATGCTAAACTAAAGGTCTTATAGTTTCAAAAGCAGGCACGATCTCTACTCTTAGTTAGACAGAGTATTTTAACAATTGCAGCCAGGAGGTTTATAATGTCGTGAGATATGTGCCTATTGATTAACCGAGATTGCTGAAACGACCCTATAGTCAACAAAGAAACTTGGACAGCCCAATGGAGCCTCTGTAAGGATGAATCTACCCAGAGCCTGCTTGGACAGCCTCATTGTCAAGAGGAAAATTCCTTTTAGTACCTTCTTCTAGCAAGTGCCCTTATATTATAAACATCTGATACGATCGTCTACTGAGTTGGGGCTCACCTGTCAGGTTAGGCAGGTTAGAAAAATTAGCTAGTTTTCCACAGTTAGAAAAATCAATATCTGTATTTTCCCTTTTTACGCTTTCTTTTGAAAATCCCCTTTCTTGAAAGATATATCTTTCTGTGAATTTATAACTGCTGAGATAGCTTAATTAATTAGCTGGAAGTATAAACCATTTGACCAAATAAGACTATATCCAAAAATCGAAACCTTATTTTTATAGCTGTTATAGATCATAGTAGCCCACAGCCTTTCCTATTATATATTCCCACCTTTATAGGCCGACCGATGGTGCAATCGGGTAAAGAGAGCCTACGGAGTCGCTCGGTTTATGGCTAAAACACTAAGTCTCGCTCGTAATACTTATAAAAAAACTAAGGGTAGTTATTATTATTTTAATAGTAAAAATTTTTCCGAATTTAATATTTTGAAAAATACTATAATCCTATAGATAGATTAGTTAGTTTCTAGACACAGAGTAATAAACAGTAAAAGCTAAATCTCTAAATCTTATTTATAATATAAATATATATATTATTAACTAAAGCTGTTTAACCTGAAATTAATATTATCTACTTTCTAAGTGCCTTATCTTTAATCCACAGAGATACAAGAAAGGCCGCCGCTAGGAATACAGCTGTGGGCACGGTGGCACTCAACGTTCCTATTTGATAGACTGACCGCACCAGATCTTGAAGGTCAGGCGGCAGCTCGTTGATGTAGTCAAGACTCTGCCGAACTCTTTTCTCTATTTCACGGGCGACATCGTCATCGCCCCCGAGCCTAGCCTCCAGCTGGGATCGGATGACTTGTTGCTGGACTGCAGATGTCAGGCTGATGCCGACGCTAGACCCTAGGGAACGGAAGAGGTAGGAGCAGGCGACCGCAACAGCCGTGTCCTCTGTGGCAGCATTTGAGAGAAGCCCCACCAGAGTTGTAGTAATACCTGAGTGGTCATATGAGTCAGTATCCATAAGAGTGCGCTTGGGTTGTTCCTCTTACCAGACCCGATCCCCAAAGCCGCCAAGACGAGGCCTACGACAACGCCGAGGGCCGATTTTCCCCAAACAGACAAGGCCAAGGGAAACACCGAGAGCAGCAACAGCCCGAAGCTCAGGACAGTCGGCAAGTAGAATCTGCCGTAGCGTCTTATCATCCACCCGCCGGCCACGGAGGAAAGTATGACAGCTATAGTCGAAGGTGTCATCAGGGTGCCGCTCCTGGCAGCGCTGAGTCCCAGAACCACTTGCAAGTATAGAGGGATATAGAGGAACATGGCCATCTGGCCAGCTATTCCGAAAAAGTTGGTTAGGTAGCAGGAAAAGAGGCTGGGGTCGAAAATGATGTGCCCGGGAGCAAATGGGTAGCTAGCAACCTTGACCTCGACGTATATAAATGCTGCGAACAAGGCTGGCGCAAGAGACAGCGGGACCATTGATCTGGCGTCTGACCAGCCCAAGTTAGAACCTGCGTCAAGCCCCGAGAGGAGAGACACAACAGCGAGGGCCAGCGTGAGGGCGCCGAAAAAGTCTACCTGTTGAACCTTTCGAAGCCAGTGGTGATGCGAATTGCTGGGAACATGGAGGAAGAAGTAGACAAGAAGCCACGCTATAACGGACATGGGAACTTGGATGAGAAAGGACCTGAGAAATACGTGTTAGTATTGAATGTTCCAGGGGGTAACCAACTCGTACCATCGCCATCCTATCGAGTCAGCAAGAAACCCTCCCAGCGGGGCACCCAAAGACGTGCCAGCTCCCCAGATAATGTTGATATATCCTTGGTAAATGCCACGTTCCCTCAGAGGGACCAGGTCGCTTAGCAGGATAGACACGACGGCATTCACTCCGCCACCGCCAACGCCGGTGACCGCTCGCGCAATGCACAGCTGGACCATGTCTCGGGCTAGGCCACATCCTAGGCACCCAAGCCCAAAGACGCTGTAGGCAAACAGGAGGCATTCCTTGCGCCCAAAGATGTCGCTCAGCCTTCCATACAGAGTTTGGAAGATGGTCAGGGCTAGGAAGTAGCTATGTCATATATCAGCATGAGAAGTTGTTGGCTGGGCAAGCAAGGCCAGACGTACGCAGTAGCTATCCAGCTGGTGTTGTTCAACGCTTCGAGCTCACTGCCAATCTTTGTGTACGAGGTGATGACCAGCAGCTGGTCGAGAGCGACCATGAACATCTACTTGCTGTCAGTCATGAGATGGGATGTGAGCAAGGGTAGACCATACCCCTACACCAACTGCAGGAAGCAAGAGATGTATCCTTGCATTCCTTCTTGCTAAGGAAACCACATTATCGCTGGATGTATTGTCGTTGAGAAGTCGAGAGGTTTCGCTGGCTGGCTGTGAGCCCCTGTGAGAGTCGTTGTGTGACATATTTGGCAAGACGAGGCACAAAGATAGAAAGATGGTGTAAATGTGCTTTTACAACTTGTTTTTGGAATATTTCCATGAGTCTGAGTCAAGCTAGTCTTGGCAAATGTCGCCATCGCCTGATTAAGGAATCAGCCCCGTAGTTAAAACTCCATCCTCGATTGCGTGATATCGACATGCTCCATGGGCATTCTCCGCTACGGTTTGCCGGCTTCTCTATAATTTGCCGATATGCTCCAGTCCAAGTTCTACACAATGTATTTGCCTCAGCAACAATGGGACCTTCACCAAGACTCGTTCTGCTTACTGCTCTTCTTAGTGCCTCCGGGCTCCTCGCGTACCCCGATCAAAAGCGCATTGGGAGTCCAAATATTGCTCCCTCATGCCGTCTCCCTCCAGTGCTCGAGCCTCCTAATGACGGCCTACCCTCAGGATGCTCTGTCTTCGCGGGAGCTGAGGCGTTGGACACGCAAGTGAGGCGGCATCAAGCTGTTGTCCGTGTCCCGACGGTGTGCTACGACGACCTTGGCGACTTCGAGACAGACCCTCGATGGATTCCCTTTCACCGTTTCCACAAGGTGCTCCGAGAGACGTATCCGACAGTGTGAGTACATGCAACTTTCCATTCCTCCCAGCAAGGCGGCTTACAGGGGCCGGACAGACACCGACGTGCCCAACTAGACAAGGTCAACGTCTTTGGGCTAGTCTACACGTTTCAAGGATACGATCCATCGCTCAAGCCCATTTTGTTGACGGCCCACCAAGATGTAGTGCCCACTGGGGACCCATCCGCATGGACTCACCCGCCTTTCAATGCCACCTTCGATGGCGAGTGGCTTTGGGGTCGCGGATCCGCAGACGACAAGGCCTCCCTGACTGCGCTCCTGTCAGCGGTAGAGGCTCTCGCATCGATGTCGGAGTGGGCCCCACGCAGGTCCGTCATCCTGGCCTTTGGCTTTGACGAAGAGTGCTCCGGATACCGGGGGGCTGGGTCCATCGCCAAGCACCTCCTCGACAAGTATGGCCCCAACGGACTCGCCATGATCCTCGACGAGGGCACCGGTGGTATTTCGCCCTCGGAAGACGGTACCCTGTATGCACCAGTGGGGGTCTTGGAAAAAGGCCACGTTGATGTCACGTTTGACCTCGCGGTTCGCGGCGGCCACAGTTCCACACCGCCCTCCCATAGCGGCATCGGCATCGCGGCTGAGATAGTTGCTGCTCTCGAAGCACACGTCTACGAGCCTCGAATCAACACTGACAGCCCAGTGTTTGGCCGCCTGGTCTGTCAGATGCAGTACTCACCCGAGTCAGACCCCGAGCTGTTCCGCCATGTGAGGAGCGGTGATTTGGATAAGCTCGCGACGGAGCTGTCGTTGAGAGACACGTTTTCTCGCTACTCCATTACTAGTTCAGTCGCCGTCACAATCATCCAGGGCGGGCTAAAGATCAATGCATTACCCGAGGCTGTCACGCTCGGGGCCAACTTTCGGGTGGCCCCCCACGACAGCATTGTCAAGATTCAGCAGGATATCCTCGATGATATCAAGCAGGCAGTTGAAAAGTATGGTCTTGCTGTCACTGCATATGAGGGTGATCAAGCATATCAAGTGCCTCCGACTAATGAAGCGGCGCCGTCAGATGTCGGCAATAACGGGACGTTAACTTTGACAGCCACGGAAAAGTTTTCCGTCACTCCCCAAGCACCAGTCCATGGCGCGGCTTGGGATGCGCTAGCAGGAACCATCCGTTACTCATTTGCCAACAAGGATGGCGTCGTTGTGCCTTTCGGCGATGTCATGATGGGAAACACAGACACGCGGCATTATCTAGGTGAGTACATGAGCCTGTGTCGAGAGACCCGGTTGCTAAATGTAGTATAGATCTCTCACCCAATATATATCGCTGGCTGCCACTGCTTCCAGGAGACATGGTCGATTACCACGCAGTCAATGAGCGCGTCCGAATGAGGGCTATTGTGAAGATGGCTGAGTTTTACTATGATCTCATCCGCAACCTTGGGCACACAGATATTTAAACGAGTCAATTCCCATTGAAGAGGCCATTTAAATCGCCTTCTCCTATTTGCTATCCCTTTACTTGGTGAAACTTGATGCCTCCACTAATGATGTTTGCGAGAGGACCGTAGTCTTGGTAAGGTAAATCATTGGAGTAGAGTTAAACGGGTGTATACCTGACCTTACAGGCGCCCTGGTACCTAATACTACTTGTAGGTATATACTATACTAAGGTGCTGGAGCTGACTTAGAGTCTCTGACTAGCCAGTAAGAGAGAGGCCTTATACCAACTTACCTTTTAAATGGGTTTATGGGTCAGGTCAAGTACCAGGGCAACTGTAAGGTCAGGTCTAACCCCAGCTTAAGCTTGTATATCACGCCTTGCCTTGGCCCTGACCCACTTTTCCCTTTATGTCTAGAGGAGGGATAAGAGTGAGTCTATTGAGCACTATCATTTCTAACCCCACTTACAAAGAGCCTAAGCGAAAAAAACTTCTCGTTAGTTATCTCTTGGCGTTCTACCAGGCTATCTTAATTTGCATGCTGATACTCGACGGCGTTTCGGGCACATGAACATCTCGATGACCGTGAGCGACCCAGAGCCGGTCCGTTGGGAACGCCGGTCCCCACGAGGTAGTTTAGCCATCAGATGGGTCCAGAGTGGATAACAAATCGGGTGTCTAACGATATCCAAGCCCAGATTGGAGCCAATTAACGGGTAAAGAGGTTGTCTCGCAATCATCTTCGCAAGCACGTCATTCAATCCGCGCAAAGCTCGCCAGTAAGACGCATCCCTCGCATTCGAGTAGACCTCAATTGCCCTTATGGCAGATAGTAGTATGAATCCATGTCGAGAATCTTATGCCAAAGCCCACATCCCAGCACAGAATGATGACGCAATTCCAAGCGGGTAATGAGCAATCAACGTCGATGGCGTCCATCATATAAGCGAGCCCGTTTAAGATAAAATAAAAGTAGCAAGCCTGCGAATCAACTCATATAGAATCACAGACATTCAGTCAGCAGAAAAGGGAACAAAACAAAAAAGACAAAGAACAGCATGACAGTCGCTGCTAACATCGACGACCAGACGTCTGGGGCCGATAGTGGCCAGGCGGGCGTCGTTATGAAGAAGACGGCTAATGCCACAGTTGCGAGAGCCGATACAATAGGGGTTCGAGACGACGCTGAGGCCAGGGCTGTTTTTCTGGCTTCGTTTACTTGCCAGGAGGAGAAGCACATCATGAGGAAGGTCGACAAGCAGTTCCTACTGCTCATCGGATTCATGTACATGATAAAGCAGGCAAGTCTCCTCCCAAATGTGTCATCCTCAGCATGCTAACTACTACATGTTCAGATCGACCAGACGAACGCGTCAAATGTCAGGGTTCTACAGCTTGGAGAGCCACGAAACATTATGACCGAGCTCAAAATGACGTCCGACCAGTACAACTGGGTGGGATCCATCTATGGGGTATGTGGACGAGTCCGGACCAGGCGGTCAGATGCTTACCATTGGACAGATCTCGTTTATCCTGTTTGAAGTACCCAGTAACCTCCTTCTCAAACGATTCAGCCCTCACGTCTGGCAGTCTCGCATCTTCTTTATGTGGGGTATTATCACAGCTTGCCAGGCCGCGTCGCAGAACCGGCACCAGCTGTATGCCATGCGCTTCCTCCTCGGCATGTTCGAGGCGGGCATGTTCCCCGGTGTCATGGCACAACTCTCGAGCTGGTATCGTACCGACGAGATGGGCAAACCCGTCACCTGGCTGTACACATTTGTCAACTTGTCGGGTATCATCGGCGCCCTGCTCTGTTACGGCATCAGCTATATGAACGGGCTCCAGGGTCTCAGTGCCTGGCGATGGGTCTACCTTCTCGAAGGCATTGTGACTGTCTTGTTTGCTGGCATCGTCTTCTGGGTTCTGCCAGACTACCCCAAGTCTCCTCGCTCCGGGCGCTTCCTGTCTGAGCGAGAGCAAGAATTTGTCGAGGCTAGGCTCCCAGAGAACGCACCTGTCACCAGCGACCCCAACTTTTCTGGCAAGGAGATTGTGGCTACCCTTCGCAGTCCTCTGATATGGGCCTTTCTCATCTCCCAGGCCACTCTCAACATTGGATGCTACGCGCTAATATGGTACCTGCCCACCATTATCACTAGCATGGGCTTCACTGGGCTTCCCGAGAATCAGCTGTTGAATATCCCCCCCTCTGCTGCTGCCATTCTTTCCGTCCTTGCTGCGGCATGGCTTATTGGGAGGGCTTACTTCGTTCGTCCGGCTGGTGCCGTGTATGTCCCCTCCTGGCCCGCCCCCCTCTTACCGAGACCTGAGAGCTGACACCAAGAGTTAGAGTTCTTCTGGCCGGCATGGTCGCTTGCTTTATCGTGTTCTTTACCGTCTCTGACCGCATAGGTATCTACATGGCCTGCATCCTGAGCAACGCCTTCTTTAACGGCTATTATCTCATATTTTGGGCATGGCGATCGGCGACACTGTCCGGGTCGACCGCGGCAGCTTTCACGCTCGCCTTCCAGTCGGGTCTCGCTCAAGTAGGCGTTATCGTCGGGCCCCAGCTGTTTCCCTCAAAATGGGCATATAACCGATATAAGAATAGCTTTGCGATTGCTGGTGCCTTCACAATTGTGTCATTCCTTGCCAATCTCTGGACGTGGTGGCTGACTAGGAACACTGAGTACGATGTCATGAGAGTCCGGCGTGAGATTCTTAAGGCCAGGGCTGAAGGCAAGGTTCTGGTCAGTGATGATATCCATATCTTCAACGAAAGGCAGTTCTACACTGGTTTGAGGCGTAATTATGCGGAGCAGGTTAGAGAAAAGGCCTAGATAGAGAGTGGTAAGATAGTAAGATTCAGGCCCCGCGGCCTTGAAGTATAGGAATCTTCCCTGAACTTGATAAATTAAAGATTAGGTATAATAGTTGGAATAACTTATACTGGTTAGAGTCTAGGGTAGATCAGAGTATAACTGATTAGAGTTATATTCTATTATTAATACTATAATATATCCTACTAAAATATATTAAAATTTAATAGATAAATTTTTATACTATTAAAAGATAGAGTAAAATATATTAAGTAGAATATATTAATTAATTAGTTAATAATTTTTAATAATCTATAGAAAATAATTATTTAGCTAGTATTTAACTAAATTAACTAGAGTTTAATTAAATTATTATATTTTAATTATTTTATTATTTTAAACTAAATAAAATATAGAAGATATTTTAACTAGATCTTATTAAATAAAGAGATATATTATTTAATTAGATCTAATTAAGATTTATTTTATTATTCTTCTTTAGTTTTTATCTTTTTATAATAAAACTATTTATTTATCTTATTAAATATCTATTTATTATCTATAAGTAATATAGATATATATATATTACTAAGAAAATAGAATTCTATCTCTAAGCTTAATATCTATTATATATAATATTCTAAAAAAAAAAAATTAAGATAACTATTTAAATTATTAATAAACTTAATAGTATATTAATTAAGATATTATAATAGTTTATTAATATTATATTAATATATCTAGTTAATATACTATTTAGCTATAAAGATAAGAAAGTATTAATAAATAAGTATAGATTAATTAGTTACTATTACTTAAGCTTCTACTAGAAGATATATAATATTAGATATAAGTAATATACAGCTGTACAGTCTGACTGGAACAGTCAGATCAGTTAGTCTGATATTATATATTAAGTTATATAACTACTAGTTATACTAATCAGCTACTGCTAATCTAGCTAGTTAGATAAATCCAAGCCTTTATATATATCTCTTATATAATCTATATAATATCTAATAACTAGTAGTAATTCTACTATAGTCAGGATAACTATACTATAACTATATTATTCCCTTAATATATATAATTTTTTCTACCTATTCCTATTATCTAGTTCTATATATCCCTGGTTATCTATAAGGTAGATAATAGCTTTATTATATACCTATTAAATATTATTATTTATTATATTAGGAAATTCTAACTCTAAATCTTTTAACTTATATAATTATAAGATACTCGAATTACTTAATACAGCTGGTTTTATCCCTCTTAAGACTATATCAGATAAGGTCTATCTAATAGAGTAGATCGAAAGGTATAGCCTATTCTTAATTATTCTATACTATTAGAGAAAGAAAGTATCTAAATATCTCTATTTAGTACTATTAACCCTAATAAAATAAATAACTTTACTAAAATAGATACTAGATATACCTATTATATTTAGATTTATTAACTCTATCTCTTCTACCTGAAATATAAATTCAGCTTATCTTTCCTAGCTATATCTTATATAATCTATAAGAGCAGGTACTTCTTCCTAATTAATAAGAAATACTGGATTAATATATTATTAATTAACCGGATATAATATATAACTTAGATATACCTTCTATAATAGATTAAGTTTTCTATATATCTTACTAGTTAGATAGAACTTCTTAATATAATCTATAAGAAGCTAGTCTTAATAAATTAAGACTTTCTCTTTATTCCTACTAGTACTAAATATAGCAGTTTAGTTATTACTTTCAGACTTATCTCTTTTATCAGAAGGTATATCTCTTAGTAATTAGTTAGAGCTATTATCTCCTACTAATTAAATAGATCTACTTAGGCTGATTAAGTAACTTAATCTACTGAATAAAAGAGTATAAATATTATTACTAAGTCCAGAAGTTAAAATAAGTAGTAATTAAGAAAACAGAGATAATAAAGTACCTCTATTACTTTCTCTAAATTCTAGACTATCTAATAAATAGATAACCTAATTATTTAATTACTTTATAAATCTATATAACTAATAATAGAGTATAGTTATATAGAATAAAGCTAATATAATAAGAGGATTAGTTAAAGATAATTAGAAGTTAATATCTATTAGGTATTTTAACCCTATTAATAAATTAGCTAATATCTTTTAATTTATTAATCTATCTGTTTTCTAATTATATAATATAATTTAAATAGATATTAATCTATTTATTAAAAGTATTTAGTTAAATATAATTACTCTTAAATATAAAGATATAATTAGATCTAATCTGAATTAACTTTTTAAGGGATAAATAGAGAAATAGTAGATCTTATTCCTAACTAATAGTAAATAATAGATAGCTAAGCTATTGCTTAATATATAGTACTCTACTCTATATAGAAAATTTTAATTAGATTAGGTATTAGCTAATATAAAGTTAAGCAGGATAAAGTATACTAAGGAAAACTATTATAATAGATTTAATATAGAAATATAAGCAGTAGAATTAATATATATAGCTAAGACTATTAGATTTAAGATCTATTTCTAATAATTAATAAAGATTTAGAATAATCTGGATACTAATCTATATAAATTAGTTATTAAACTGATACTAGAAATATTAATAAGTATATAGATTATATATCTGAGGGAGAGATATTAAATCTATTAATTAAGAATCCTAATAAGTATATTATCTTTTAACTTAAATATAATATAAAACCTGCTCTAACTAATAAATCTAAATTAATATAATATATTATAAATACTAAATTAATACTATTAGTCTGCTCTTTCTATAAACTAATATCAGAATTAGTATAATTCTTATAATTAGAACTAGTTTAATCTATATTAATAGTAGTTAATAAGTCTATAATCTTAGAATCTAGATTATAATTAGTTTAATATAACTAATAATAGTTATTAGTTAGCCCTAGTAATATTAGTAGATAGATCTAATAAGATAGATAGATACTAGGGAGACTGTAGATATAATAACTATAGCTATAAGAATTATAGTTATAATAACTACTATAATAAGAATAGTTATAATAATTAGAATTATAGCAGAGGCTGTAATAGTTATATTAACCAGAAGGGTTCTAACTAAAGGGATTATAGAAATAATAATTAGAAGTAATATAATAATTATCTATCTAGAGGCTACTTTTAGTAATATAGTAATATATTCTAATCTTAATTTAGATAAAGTAGATATAATAACTAATATTCCTTCTATTAGTACTATTACTAGATCTCTTAAGGAAATTTATACTAGATAGAGGATAATAAGGATATCTATATTATAGTAGATAATAATAGCTTATTAGGCTTTAAGGGAGAACTAATTAGCTAAGGATATTTAATAGTTAAATAACTTAAATTAGAGGATCCGGACTTAGATAACTATATAGATAAGAATAGATAAGATTCCTTATATTCTTTAGTTCCTTAAGATTAATATACCTTACTAAATATAGCAGGTAGCTACTATACCCTCTAATTAGCTGGTAAAAATATAGTAATACTATTAAATAAACTAAGTACTTTAGACTATAAAAAGAAGAAAGTAGAGTTTTATAATCTATCTATAATATATAATTAATTAGTAGAAAAGCCTAAAGTTAAATAATTAAATACTTCTATACTTAGCTCTGAAGAATAAATATATAGAAAGTATAATAAGATATTCCTAAGTAGGAATATAATAATAAAGTATATAATATTAAATATATATACTAAACTACTTTTATTAATTAGTAACTATATATATAATAGAGAGTTCAGTTAGTTATAACTTAACTTAATAGTTATAGAAAAGCTTACTATAGATAAGATAGAAGAGTAAGAGAACTATAATAATAAAGTAAATCTAATAAATAGGCTACTAGATAATATACTATAATATATATTAATAGATATAATTAATTAAATAAACTATATTCTAAATAAAACTAATTTAGAAAATAGATTAGAAACTTATAGTATAATAAGTATATTTTCCTTATATTCTTTAATTATTAAAGCTTAGAAATATAATATACTCTATTTAAAATTTTTATATACTAAAGTTAATATATAATTCAGACTAAGTAGTAGTTTAATAACTATAGTAGTTAATTCTAGCTACTCTAATATACTAATTAATTAAAAATAGATATAATAAAATATAATTAAACTATACTACTACTAAGTAATAATACTAAAAGTTATAAATATAGTAAGTAGAATAATAGTAGTAAAAGATAAAGTTAGATTTAACTTCTATATAACTAGTTAAATAGATAAGAAAGATCTATAGGGTTACTTTATAGTTAAGGTATAGATTATTAATAATTTAAAACTAAATATACTACTCAGTATAAACTTTCTTAATAAATATAGGATTAATATCCTAATTACCTAGTAAAGTCTAATAGTTACTTTCTGCTATAATATACTAGTTCCTTTTAAGATAATATATAAGAGAAACTAGGAAAGTTAGAGAGTAATAGTAATATATAACTTAACTATTCTAGTATATTTAACTAATTATATATAGGTTTAATATAAACTGCTTATATCCTATAATAATTACTTTATCTAGAGAATATTATACTTTTAATTTAATATCCCTATAGTAAAGAACTATCTCTATAAGATCAGATAGTCTAGCTTTACTATAAGTACTAAATAGATTATAGTAGTAAATAATTCTAATACCCTGATAAGATTCAGTTAGAAGACTATTATAAGTATAATCTCTGACTTTAAGGAATCTAATATAACTAATATATCTTAGATATAGGTAGAAGCTTTATAGACTATAATAGATAGTAATAGTAATATAAATATAATAGATAGGGAATTTATATTAAATATATTCCTTAATATATTCCTTACTAGAGATATAGAAAAACTATCTAATATACTGAATATATTAATATAGAATACCTTATAGAAATAATAATTACTAGGGAGACTATAAAATACTACTGAAATTAAAACTAAAGATAGAGTATATATATATATAATTAATAAAATATAAGTAGTA